CCTCCTCCTAATCCTCCTCTCTTTACCTCCTCTCCGCCCCTCTTCCCCTGACTCATCCTCTCCTCTCGATGATCCTCCTTTTTCCTCCTCCCCTGACCTCTTCTCTCCCCCCCCCCCCCCCCCCGTCCTCCTCCCGCCCCACCCCCTCTCACCCCCCTGCGTCCCAAACTATGGCACAATAGCGCTCAGCTCCTCTGTCTATTCTGTGTCCAGCAGGAGCCCGCGGTGATTCATTGCTCCAATTAGGGGCTCTGCAGCCCGTAGCTCGGGCTGTCTGAAGGGTCTCCTTTGGGACCCACGAAACCCATCAGCTGCTGCCGCTGATCTTTAAGGAAAGGTCAAGCCGGACGCATTAGAGCCAGGTGAGGACCGATGGGTACCAAGGGAGGCTTGGGAAGGGCACCCCCCACACTCCTGCCCCCAGAAGCTGAGGGAGGACCTGGACCTTCCATAGCCCAGGGTTGGAGTCACCTTTCTGAGCCCAATGCCCTAGTTTTAGAGACAGAGGGAAGAGGACTTGTCTCCTGCCATCACCCTGGAGACAGAGTCCTCATAGCCTGCCCCCACCCCCAACTGACCAGGGGTCACAGAATCACCCTAGGGGTAGGAGCAGAAAGGGTACTGTGTGTCCTGTGACTAAGAACTCAACCTCTCTGTGCCCTTTTCCTTCTTGTTAAAGTGTTGCAGCAGTGATCACAGATGTCCACGACTTAATGTATTGTATGCAGATACGTTGTAGCTGTTTAACACAGAGATAGACCTGCATGCCAAATTAACATTTACATGCTTCTTAGCTCCTTGCCCCAAGAAGCAAGTGTGGTATGTCCCCCACTTTATGACTCAAAAACAGGGACCAGGCAGGATTCAGACCCAGGCAGCAGGGGTTTGCATGAAACATGCAGCTTCCTCAGGCAGACATCTGGCCCCCGTCACCCAGAAGCTGCTGGAGACTGTCCTTGACGCCTCCCAAGCACACAGGCCCACACATGTACACCACACACACACACACACACACACACACACACACACAAACACACAGAGCACAGATGGTGCCCTTTGGTTCAGACTGGGCCACCAAGCAATCCTGAACCTTTGTGGGCCTCAAGTCTCCCATCTGTAACAGGCCCCCTGAAGCTTCAGAACTGCAAGCCTCTACTTTCTAGCACCTTCCAGCTGTCTACCCTGCCTAAACCTGGGGCCCCAGGGACAGGAGCCCCTACTTGGTAGGCTGACATGTAAAAAAAGGCCCCCTGCCCAGTGGAAATGGGCAGGAGAAAGGCCTCTTGGGAGTCCCTGACATTCCAGGGCTCCAGATGCAACCGAATGGGGTGTCAACATGGCAGAGCATGGGACTCTTCTTTCCCTGGCCCAGAAAAGTGCTGGCTCAGCAAACTGTCCTGCAGAATGTTTTTTTTTTGGGGGTGGGGGGGGGGGGGGGGGGGAATACTCCCCGACTGCTGGCATTGTTCATACCTTGCCAGAGGAGAGGCTATGAATGGGAGTCCCCTCATGAAGGAATCCTGTCTCCCCTCTTACCGAGTAAGGGCTGGGGTTCTCACCACATAGGAAGGAGCCTGGGGTAACAGTTCCTGCCCAAGCCCTGCGGGCTCCCTGGAGATGAAGGCCCCTCAGCCGGGTCAAGCTGCCCATCTTCGAGCCCCTCAGGCTCATCTGTAAGGGCTCAGCTGGAGTTGCCCTTGTTCCTTCACATCTGTTCATCGTTCATTTTATTTCCTGTGCCATCTTCTGCTTCCTGCATCCTTTCATCTCCCAAGAGCCAGCTTCTCCCAGGTCCATCCTGCACACTGGATAGCCAGGACTGGCTCCATACCTGGATGCAAAGCCCCAAACTCCATTCTGCCAGCTGTGTGTGCCTCAGACAGAGGCAGACCCCTTACCTCTACAAACCCCAGTCTCCTGCTATGTGCAATGGGCACATGCTCACTACACAGTGGGCCAATTGAGAGTCAGAGAGATGCCTGGCACAGGAGGCTGACATAACAGGAGGCTGTGGTGTACATGTTAACATGTGTGTGTTGGTACACACGTGTGCTGTGTATGTAGACATGTGTGCATTTGTGTGTGAACAAGTACAGGCATACATGTGTGTGCTGTATATACATCTGTGTGTGCTAATGCATAGTTATACGCACACGCATATGTGTTTGTGTGCGCAAGTCCAGGAATACATGTGTGTGCTTTGCATGCCTGTGTTTATGTGTGTTAATGCTTGGTGTTATACAGACATGCATTTGTGTTTATATGCATGCATGCAGGTATACATGCGTGCACTGTGCAGGCATGTGAATGTACGTGCAAAGTGCTTATGAATGTACATGTTTGTGCTTATGCTTCTGTATGTGAAGTGGGCAGCGGGGGCAGATTTCTGTTTCTCTCAATGGGTGAATGACTCAGGAAATCCCCTGGCACAGATCAGAGAAGGAAGAAGACAGGTGATGTTGCTGAGTCATCTGGGGGTGGGTAACATGGGGGTGGAGCTGCAGCACAGCCAGACACACCAGACTGACATCACAGCAGCATTTACTAGCCTTGGCAGTGGTGATGGAGGGGGGACTTCTGACCCTCTGGGTCTCTGTTTCTCCATCAGGAAAGCAGAGCTAACAAAAAGATATGTTTTTCTAGGATTGAGAGAAGCAAAACCTAAGTAATGCTGACAGGCCAGGCTCTCCAGAGACCAAGGCAGGAGAAGCTCAAGTTCAAGGCTGGCCTGGGCTACACAGTGAGACCCTGTCTCAAAGGGAAAGAGCTGAGGGACCCAGGCCAACCCCCCATGTGGCATGTAGCAGTAGTGGTTTCTCTGCATGCTGGGTCAGTGCTGAGCACGAGCCTGGGCCGTGCAGAGCCCACAGCTATGTCACGGTGGCCTGGCTTTCAGATGAGAAGACAGAGGTTCCGAGTATGGAGAAACCAGCCTCTAGGAACAGCAGGGAACACGGGAAAGCACACACACCCAGTCCCCCCACCCTGGCTCCCACGAAAGCTGGTAAGAATGGTTGCCCTAAGTTCAGCATGAGCCAGGGATGGCCTCAGAGGATCAGCTCTCGTCTTTCATGTGTCCCCGACTGTGCATCTAAGGAAACTAAAGCTCTCACAGGCTCTGGCCTGGACACAAAGCCAGCTGTGTGGTGCCAGATGCTCAAACGCCAAGACGCCTTAGTATCTACTTTGTCACAAAGTCATCCCAGCCCCCAGCCTGGCTGTTCACATGTTCGAAGCTCAAAGCTGGTTTGAGCCAAGCGCATGCCTGCCAAGAGTCACAGCATCTAGACTCAGGGTACCCAGCAGAGTCATCCCCCTGCCTGTGGCTGTAGAGGGTCCATGTTCCTTCCATACCTGTCACTATTTAAGGCATGGGCAACATTGCAGCTCCCAGCAGCCCTGGCTCAGGTTCCGTGGAGACATGCAGCGGAGGTACTGAGCTTCTGGGCACAACTCACATTTTTGGCTTCCTGTGGGGCATCTCCCAGCCTCCCCCTAGCTGTCTCCAGCTCCCAGCACCACACACTATTGTGTCTGCTTCCGGCTGTGTCTCCCAAGGGGCTGAGCCCCAGCTGGCCTGCCTTGCACTGCCCTAGTTTCACAGGGCTCAATCAATGTAGGAACCAGGGCCACAGGACTCCAAACCTCATGGTGCCTTCTGTTCTAAAATCCTCAGGCCGTCTGGCAGGATGATACCTTCTGTAATCCCAGCACCCTGGAGATGGATGGGAAGTTCAAGGCCAGCCTGGGCTGCATAGTGAAAACCTGTCTCAAAAAATAAAACCTTGGCCGGAGGCAGGTAAGAGCAAAATGCATTTTATACAAGCATGGAATTTTCACAGAATAAAAATATTAAAAATAAGGCTGGTGATGGTACACACCTTTAATCCCCATACTTGGGAGGCAGAGGCAGGCAGATCTCTGAGTTCAAGGCCAGTCTGATCTGCAGAGCGAGGCTCCAGTTTCAAGACAGCCAGGGCTATACAGAGAAACCCTGTCTTGGGAAACCAAATATGTAATAAAAATATAGTAATATATATAAAACAAATTTTTAAATCCCTCCAGCATCATCTTGCCCCTCTGCAGTCTTTAGCTGCTCTGTCCTCCATTCTTTCCAAGAACTCGAAATCAAATCACAACTATCCCAAGACATGCAGTTTTCCCAGTCTGCGGTTTTGATACCAGTGCTCACCGTTCCTTTTGTAACTTCTCTTGTCCTCTGTGTGTGCTCCTCCAGTATCCTCCCCAGGACCCGGGTGTGCTCCTCCAGCATCCTCCCCAGGACCCGGGTGCGCTCCTCCAGCATCCTTCCCAGGACCCAGGTACCATCTGTCCATCTGCTTCGACGGAGACAACCTGGGCCCTGTGCTTGCCCTCCAGCTAACTGGTGACCAAAAGAGAAAAACTGGTCTTTGGCTGCCCTTTCTTTCCTTGCTCTTCCCCCTCCCCTCTGCTCCCCACCTCTTCCCCTCCCCCCACTTCCCTTCTTCCCTTTCCATCTGGTTAGAGCAATCACTTCACTACTTTCTACAGAAAGAGCTTCAAACATGGCAGGATCCTGGCAAAAAAATATATCCTCCTCGAAGGGAAAGAATGTTACTATGAACAATAAAAAAATAAAAATAAAAAAAAAAGACAATGCCTAGGTGGCTGACCTGGGGCCTCTGAGCCAGTCATACCCATTAACACTTGACAGCTATGACAACAATGCCTGGTGGCTGAGGAAGTGTTGCCTCTGCTGTATAAGCTGGGAATCGGATCCCCAGAAGCAGGGACTTGTTCAAAGGTGCAATTCCGGATACCAGGGTGAGGCTGGTGAAATTGTGTTGCATTTTAGGGATTGCATATATGTGTGTGTGTGTGTGCATACATACATATGCACACACATTTTCTATATACACATACACACTGTGCACGCACATGCGTTTGCGCATCCATGCATGTGTGCGTGTGCATGTGTGTTAAGAGAGAGTGTCCTGGTTTGCTTTCTATTGCTGTGATAAATGCCATGGCCAACAGCAACTTTGGAGGAAAGAATTTATATTTGGGTTGGTTTCCAGGTCCTGATAACACTCCATCATTAAGGGAAGTCGGAGCAGGAACTCAAGCAAGTGCGGGAGAGGAGCCATGAAGGAACACAGCTTACTACCTCACATTCAGCTGCCGTTCTTAAACAATCCAGGACCACCTGCCTAGGGATGATACTGCCCACATTGGTCTGGACCCCTTTACATCAATCAGCAATCAAGAAAAAGCCCCACGGACCTGCCTACAGGCCAGTCTGATGGAGGCAGTTCCTCTGTTGAGGTTCTCTCCTCCCACATAACAAGAGTTTGTGTCAAAGAGACAAAAACTAACCAGCAGAGAGGACAGAGGGGTCTACCACATCATACTGTGGAGGTCAGAGACAATTTGTGGGAACTGGTTTTCTTCCTCTACATGGGTTCCTTGCCTTAAAATCCAGGCGTCAGGCTTGGTGCCAAGTACCTCTACCACTGATCCAGCCCACAGGCCCTTTTGTTGGCCTTCATGTGGACTGATTAAACATGCAGCTTCCACGGTGTGCTGGTAACCCCATCTCAGCGGCCGCTGCTCTTTGAAATACCCCCATCTCAGAGCAAGGAAGTGGCAGCTCAGCTCACAGTTCACCTCTGGGTCCCGAGACAGCATAGGCAGGAGCGTGCCGTCCTTTGCAAAGGCCCTTGTGTGAAAACCCCAGCTTGTGTTCACAGCAAAGGGTCCTGGCCCGAGGACCAGGAGACAACGGCTCATGGCCCATCCCAGCCCTCCTGCTCAGGAACCCGAGGGTGCCGCAGTGAACTCCAGAGCTTTGCAAAAACCTTTTGATAAACGAACACAGGGCTGACCTGCACGGGGCCCGACAAGACTCTTCACATAAATCTTGTGTGTGCTTGAAACTTCCCTCCCCACTGGCATTTCCAAGGCTCTGATTTGTAGCGGAAAACCCTTGATGTGGTTGGTTCCCAAGCATCTAAGCCCCAGAAGTGCTGGAAAAGGCAGGACACATGGGGAGGAAGAAAGCAAAGTTAGACAGCGAGAGTAACCTCCAACTTTGCCCAGCGTGCCTAGCGCACAGTCAGTGTGTATATTGGGTGAGCCAGCTTTAGTCTTCCACTATGACGAAGACAACTAACTAATGCTGCCAAGTGTTCACTAAGTGCTGGGTGCCTACTAAGCACCAGGGGCTATGTTCACTTAGTATGTGAACACTAGTGTTAGCTTTACTGATGGGGCACTGAGGTTCCAAACCGTGGTCCCATGTCCCCAAAGTCACAGAGCTGGGAAGTGTCAGGGCTGGAATTGAACCCAGACCATCTGGTCCAAGTGCCTTGCTCTAACCCACCACCCACAATGTACAGTGCCTGGTCTGCAGACCCGGCTCCCCAAATCCTTCCCCATAATGTCCTGCCCTGGAAGCTGGGGATCTTGCTCATTATCCTGCCTGTGGCTTCACTGGCAGCTGTATCTCCAGCCAGGTCCCCAGACCCTTGGACCCAGAATTTCTCAGTGGCTTCCTCAGGCTCTGGCTTACAGGAAGGCTGTGTCCACAGCCCTGGAGTCTTTCCATATGTTCCTCTGAGTCACCAGGACCTGCCCTAGCCCCAACCGTCTTCTTGGTCTTCACTCTGGAGTGGCTGACCTGTCCTGGACTTGTTCACACTGCCTGATGATACACTGGACAGCAGTACCTTATTTTCTTCTGTGGGGGTCTTACTGTAACCCCAGCTGGCCTCACACTTCAGCAGCCCCCCTGCCTTCGTCCCCTCCCCAGGGCTGCGATTAACGGAGTGGGCCGCCAAGCCTGGCTGGGTATTGTCTTTTTGAAAGCCTCTTTCTGACGCTCCTGGAAGTACGGGACCCACAGGTGCATCTCCCTAAGTTTTCGCAGACCAAACTGGGGTTTGACCAACGTATTCTGCCTCCCCAAGCACCCCACCCCCTTGCCAGCATCCCATATCCAGTTCCAACCCAGCTACAGAGATGACGCTCCCAGACTACACGGTCCACCATGAAGATGACAGTTCGTGGTTTTGTGGCTGAGTGTTCACGGAACCACGTAGCTAGTTCCGTTTGTCGACTTTTGAGCACCCAGCACCCCCGTGAGAAAGCTCCACCTGAAGTGCCACCACTGGACTCCCTCCAGCTTGGAGTGCCACTTACCCACTTTTGTCTGTCTTGGGGTGCCACACGGGGGGTATGGCTGTGTATACCTGGCTGGCCCAGAATGCACTATGTACATTCATACATTCATATGTACATTCAGACTGACTACATACTTACAGAGATCCACATGCCTCTTCCTCCTGAGTGCTGGGATTGAAGGAGTCAGTCATCAATCCTGGCCTTTTTTATTTTTATTTTTTAAACAAGGTCTCGGGTAGCCCGGCTAGCCTTTAGTGCGGTATGTGTGGCGGACGGCCTTGATCTCCTGCCCCCGCTTCTGAGTGCTGAGGGGACAGGAGATCCCTCTACTCTGTGTGTTTTCCCTATCTCAGGGCTGGGCTGTGTCACGGTATGAGCAGATGGACTCTGTCCCCTCTGTGTGAAGGGCTGCAGCCCGTGCACGCCCGATGTCTTTCTTGTGGTCCCTCATTATGCCCGATTCTTCCTGCATAGGGTTCTCGTGTGTACACGTGCATGCGTGTTGCTGGGGATGCAACCCAGAGCTCTGTGCGTGCCAGGCGAGTGTTCTGCCACTGAGCCACACCCAAGCCCCTTCCCTGCTGCTGCCCAAAGCACCGTCTTATCCTTTGGATTGCTGTGTGGAAGTACACTGGTGGCTGTGAGGGTCGCTCTTACCTCTGGCCGGGTCTGTGAAGGCGTTCCCAGGAAAGGTGAATTCAGGGCTAAAACTCTGCAGCAACACTCCATAATCCTCCAGGCCTTTGACTCCTGACTGTGGCCTCCAACCTCCTTCAGCTCCTGGCTTCTCAGCCTTTCCAGAATGCAGGCAGCCGTCACTGGACTCCCAAGTCCTTCTTGTGTATGCTACTGCAGGGAATCTCTCATTATAATAAACACCGTGTCAGTTCTGTCTCCCACCCCACCCCCAGCATCCCCAAGAACCTGCTAGTACAGTGACTGGCTGATCTTGATCCCTTGGTGGGTGGAGGAGCTCCCATCTGAGACAAGAGCTGATGGTGTTTTCCTGCATTACTCTGACTGTGTCTTTTGTTGACAGCATGATACGCTTGTTGGGTGGACACCCAGGAGTGGAACTCTAACCCCAGGGAGATATGTAGCCTTTCTGTACACTAAACAAGATGTCTCAAATCTCACCAGTGGTGACTGTCTTTCCGGTGGCTCACTGGCTCCTGATCTCAGCCCTTCCTGATGATGCCTCCCTTGGCTCCTAGGTTCCTGAAAGCCAAGCTGGCCCTGCAGGTCTCCCTGCTCCTGGCCAGGCACCCCCGACCCACCTCAGCAGCCTATGATGTCCGCATGGGCCCAGAGACCAGGACTCAGTGTCTGCTTTGTTGGGCTGTGCAAACGCATGCTCCCACCCTGGCTCTGAAACTGTGTTCCTTTCGCGGGCCAACCATACTCAGACATGGCCCCCGCTGAAGAGGAAATACATTTTCAAATTGCAGCCTGCTCAGGCCCTAGCGCAGGGGTTCTCGGCATTTCTAACTCTGTGACCCTTAAAACAGTTTCTCATGTTGTGGTGACCCCCCAACCATAAAATTATTTTGTCGCTACTTCCTATGTGTAATTTCGCTGCTGTTACAAATCATAATGTAAGTATCTGATATGTGACCCCAAAGAGGTCGCGAGTCACTGGTGACAACCATTGTCCTAGCATCACTTAGCTCCCTCTGGCCTCTGCAGGGTAGCGCCTGCCAGGAACACAAATGCACAATCCCTGATTCCAGCTGCTCTTCAGGCTGGGTTAAAGACCCCCACCCTGCCACTGCTGCCAAATCCAAGATCACAGAGGTGGCGGGCTGGTGCTTCAAGTGAGGTCCTTGTCACTGTCATCTGGTTTTGTCACTGTGATCTGAAGCCTCCACAGCCTGTCTCAGCTCTGTCTGAGTCACCCAGATCCTCTCCGCATCTGAATTGACAGGTATGGTTTCCAGTGACAGAGGGACTAAGCACCTTCCCCAAGATCACACAGTTCCTGATGGGCTGGGATTCCAAGCCAGACTCGAGGGGACAAAGGCAACAGAGAAGACATAGAAGATATATAAAACCCAGGGCCAGCACAGTACCTCCTCCGAGGTCACACAAAATTATGACGTCTTTCCTAAATGCCGTAGATCTTGCCCCTTGGGAAAGGTCATGATACCACCAATGTGCTCCTGTGATGTTTCTTAAAATCTTTTCCTTGGGTCAGCAAGATGACTCCAGAGATTGAAGGTGCTTGCTAAGTCTGACGACCTGAGTTCAATCCCTGGAACCCACATGGGAGAAGGAGAGAATCGACTTCTGAAAGCTGTCTTCTGACTTCTTCCTGAGAGCCATGGCACGTGTGTGAGTTTGTGTGTGCTCATGTGCACACACACATGCATGTGTGTGCGTATGCACACACACACAACTAACTAACTAAATAAAATTGAAAAAAAGGAGCAGGCCTATTTCTT